CGAGGTGATTTGAAAAAGCGATAAAAGGGATGGCAAATGCGTGCGTGCGAGCGACATGCAGGTAAGAGAGAAGGAAGCGAAGACAGGCTGGAAAGCAGCTAGAATAAAGAGAGGAAAGCAAGGGGGGAAGCGGCGGAGAGAAATTCCACGGGTCGCAATTTTACCAAGCGATGCAGTTATGTATGCACATAGTCATCCGCCAGCTACGCAACAACAGTGAACGTCGGAGAGCAAAAATCTTATAGCGATGCCGCAATTTTAAAATAGCCAAGGTATGCGGATGCACGGAACCGTATCCTCGGGCAAATCGTCGTTCCGTTGCATTCTAGTAAAACGTCCGCACAGGGATATAACTTTCCTGTTCCTGTAGATCGTTTCTCGTTGCGCTCGACGTTGCGTCGGATAGCCACGAAAATTCCCGGGCTAAGTTTAATGTCAAACAATTGCATAACATAAGCGAATAGTTTTAAAATAATCATAAAATTATATACTAATAATTAATTACCGCATGACGTCATTAATCGAAGGTTTTGAATGAATTTTATGTCTCATTAAATAAATAAATTTTTATGTTTCAACAAATTGAAATTAATACTTGTAAAGCTTTTCAGTTGAACTGATAAATGTTAGCCGATGTTTGTTAAAAATACGTATAAGTCGGAGGAGCTGCATTGTGAATCATGCGTCTCCGCACGTATAATACAAATCCGGAATTTATCCGACAAAGAAATTAACGGTCAGTTAGTCAGTCGATAGATTAATATATTATATGCTCGCGAGAATTTGAAATAATCGGGACGGTTAAGCCAAATTGTTATGGCAAATTTCTTATAACTCGCGGTCTATTTCTTATAGCCGCGAGCCGTGACTCATACAGGCGTGTATACGCCTGGGTTATGGGTGCGAGGAAAACGCGTTGTATTTAGAGAAAGAGCGCGTATCGGTACTTCGAAACGCGAACGGTTTCGAAGAATCATTGTCGTAAGAGAAGGTATTGTATGCGTACCGTCGTCTGCGAAGGCTCTCGCTAGACGAATTAAATCCGCTTTGTGACGTAGAGTAATTCCGTCTTCTATCCGGATTTAAATCAGCTGTTCGCTGCGTATTATTAAAATCCTAATTTCCAGTGCAATATATCGGTAAAGATATATTGCACCGAGAGGATTTCTCTCTTCCCCTCGATCCTAGATTTTCGAGAGATATTCGAAGGTATTTTCGTTCGATCTTTGTAAGAAGCGAGTTTCGCTGGTAGAGCAGTGTAGTTCGGTCGGGACCGTTTAAAGTCGGAAGCCCTTTGCCCGTGTGGTGATCGAAACTGCAGCTTGTCTCGGCGTCGTGGTCATATACCCGCTCTGCAACGTTCAGTTGTAACCGGTGTTACGTCTGGTGCTAACCGGTGCATCCTCCTGCGTTACGGCATACCGGTATCGGCCCGGGACCCCGGTCGCAGTTGTAGGCCCACCGAAGTTTTCCTCAGGAAATTTAAAACAGCATCCAGAGAGGCGCGACGTGTTCGTCACTGAGCTCCCTGCGAATTGTATTTCGCAGTGCACCAGCGTGAACTGTCGAGGACATAGTTCGGAGTACTTACAACACTCCGAGCCTTCCAAGACAGCGCTTCTACAAATTATTTGCGGCACGAGAAGAAGAATTGTACTCTGATCGTGCCGCCGAAATTATACGGCAGTCCACGCCACTTTATTCATATTCGTTTCCCTCTAGTCTCAGAAATTAATAAGGAAGAGACAAGGTGAAGTGCACTGGGGACAGGAGTTTATATTCTGATCCGTCTCGCTTATGTAGTTGACAATCCTTAATTTTGAGTTAATAAACGGTATTTGGGTTTAAGGAAAATCGACGACGTGCGTTTTATTTTACAAACCCGATTCTCACACTCCGGCGTTTTAGTTTAGGGCACCATCCCTAACAATGTTACATAACAATTCTTATTCACTTAGATTTATTCATTAGATTAGATATATGTTTATAAATGGGAATTTATATAAATAATTAAATAATTAAATAATTAATATCTTAGTAATGTGGAAAATCGATGAAAAATGATAAAATTAATTGCTGTAATAATTTTGGGAATTAACGTGAACGATTCCATACGCGTGATAGTTTTACGAAGCAGTAGAGCTTGAGAACTTATTCGTCGCTTCAATTTCGGGCGAAATCATCACGTGATTAATTCGACGTGCGAAACCGAGTTTCCGCGCGGCGAAGCATTAAAAAATCACGTTCTCTGGCAGCAAGTCTTCGTATCACGTAAGTTTAATCAACGCGGTTTGCAAAAAATCGGCCCGAGACGAGCAACGTGAATCATTGAAATTCCCAATTTCCCGAGCTGTGAACGCACCGCTGCGCATTCGCCAATTCTCGTTCCATGCTTGGCACTCGTCATTCGTCAGATATAAAATCCCTCTGAGTCCCGAGGAACGTTGGTATCTCGATGTTTATTATTCGGTTGTGAAATAGAGAAAAAGAGATAAGTAAGGTGCGATGGTTGATTTTTATTTAAAATGGAAACTAGACAATCTAACGACTGTCTTCTGCGATGGATTTCTTTATCTGAATAATCAGTGGAGTCGAAATTGTCGAAGCAACGTTCTTCAGCTTTTAGTCCGTGTCATTCTTCATTTAATCAAAAGTAATGCAATTCATCAAAGGATTATAATTTGTGACGAAGCTTGCGAGAGAGCACAACTTAGTAAGAAGGCTGGCATTAAGGGCGTCTGGTGTCTCGTAAAAGATTAACTCGTTCAACTTTTTATGGCGTTCTAGGGTTACGAACAAGGTTCATTGTCCTCGCGAGACAAGAATTTCGCTTCCTCGTGGACGGATCTCGTTTCGATCTGAGCACTCCAGAGACCACCGGGGTTCGCAAGCCCTGGTAGATCGACTTTTGGCAACGAACGAGAGGAAGAACCGGAACGAAGACACCGAACACGGAGTAAATAAAGAAAGGGGAGAAATCGGCAAACAGAAGGGAAAATTTGTACTCGGGAAAGTGTCAGCTTGTTGATTTTCACGAAGGAATGTGTTTCGAGAGCACCTGCCAGCTTAATTGGTGACTTGGGATTCCTGTCGGTACCATCTCGAAAATATTGTCCCTCAGTTCCTTCGAGTTTGTTTAAATTAGCAACACCTTCCGGATGCCATTATGCGGGGCGTCACGTTCTTTCCTCGCTAAGGTATGGACACAGGCAATGTTGGCAATGCAAATTTGCTTGTCAATTAATTCAACTTGCAGCGATAGAAAGTAGGTTACAATTATGATAAACTCGTTCCGATCATAATAAAGCTAATAAAGCAGATTACAGATTGTGACAAAATTAAAAATTGCACGTTTCGCGTTGAATTTGTGTGAGAAACGGATCGACTTCATTCGTAAATTTTTCAAACGCGCTATCAAAACAAAGGACTGCAGTTTGACTTTTTAAATCCCTGTTTCACACTGATATCACGTCAAACGGCATTACACCGAACTATTCAGGCAAAACGATTTTTCAACCTCACGATATAACGCGCACTTTGTCACCCTTCGAAACTAGCTGTTTCGCCAGTTAAAAAAAAAGAACAAAAAAGTTGTCGGTTCACTGCCATGGGATTACCAACGATTCACAGAACCCTTTTTCTTCGATGTTATTTATCATTCGGGGGACAGTTTCAAAAAGGTGCCCGCGCGAACGCGTCCAATGTTCAATGGGACGAGTATCGTTTCGATTATTCTAATAAACATCCTCGTCACAGGATGCACAATGCGCAAAATTCGCACGGAACCATGCCGCGCCATACCGCGGAACAAAACATTGATTTATCGACGCATTTGTTTGCGCGAAGTACAACAAACGGGAAATAAATCGTGCATTATTTTCAAAGGTGAAATTCGCAAAATCCACTTGGTCTCGAAATTCGTGAAACAAGCGTGGGAACGTAGACAACCTGACGCTACAATGGGCAAAAATTAAACCGGGTGTTTCCTCGTTGGAGTGGCATTCGTACTCGAAGATTATTTTTCCAAGCCGATAATAAGGGACGGACGAAAAAAAGGAGACGACCGGGGAAGGGATTTTCGAGCGGAGTCGGCAGTGAGGCGTGATATTGATACTCCTCCATTTCTCGAGGGGTGACGTTTCTTCCCTATTCTCCATCGCGCTTCTACCCCGTTCTTCTTCCCTTTTCTTCTGAAAAGCCAGATTTCGTCTGGAGCTCGTGTCTCATACAGCACGTTCGTTCCTCTCCGCCTTTAAAGCCAGTGGCGCGCGGCAGTGAGCAAGCAGGATTTTTACGATAACAGATTACAGGATCTAGTCCGACTGGCATGAGTGAAAGGGAACCGTCGTTTCCGAAATTACTGACACTATGACCTTATTTAGGAAGCTCCCAGTGAAGGAATCGATCTCCATCCACGATTCGATCTGCCGTTCATTCGCGAGAGGAATTTTTAAGAGAAAATAAAACTTCGAAGGTTGAAAAAGTCTCTCAAATTTTATTGGTAAATGATTTTTAATCGACATGTTAATTTAATTTAAGTAGATTTATTTTAAGTAAAAACTAGCCACAAAGAAAGAAGGACCGATTTCGATAGTACCAAAATTGAAACGTCTGGAATGGGTCTGCCAAGTAATTAACTGTCTCGTCATCCGGTGAAACAGATCGTAAAAAAGGAAGCACCGCAACTACCGCCGCGCCGCACTCAAATCTCACCGGTTTCACCTTTCAACTGCAGCTGTACGAAGCGGAATAAAAAAAGGCAAAACCCAAACAAAGCCTGTTATGGATTTAATTTTAAATCCCGTCGAATCGTGCAACGTTGGACAGTTGAACCGAGCCGGCGGAGAAACAAGGTTGAGGAGAAACACGGAAAGAGTGAGGAGAAGCGGGAGAGGGGAAACTTTCATAATCGTAGTCCGCTTTATCGGACTTCAAAACTTTCATAGCTGCTTTTGGATTACCCGAGCCTGAAAAAGGCACGTGCATAGGGAGAAACGGACCATCTCCGTCCTTCTCTTTAAATTCGGATTTCCGGTGAAGTTGTATTCAAAACCGAGACTCGAACGAAATTCACGTGCAAAACCGTATTGATGAGTGAACCTCGGGAACTAGAATTTATAATGCCACGTACCGTTCTACGACAAAGTTCACGGTAACTTACATCCTACACGTGGCTTAGTAGTTTTTGAAAATAGATAAAATATAATCATACAAACTCATTGTCTTCTATTGAATTTTATAAAATTTGTAGCAACAGATTCAAGTAAATGTCTCTTTTTCATGAATTTTCATTCATAATCGAGTAATGTATTAACCATTAATAAAACAACATTTGGTTTTGGTTGTGTCACGCGCAAGAACAGCTTTATTATTGATTCACGCTACTTACGGTTATGCGACCGCTGTATCATATTAACATGTTAAACTCATACCTGGCATAATTAATGCAAGGTAAAATAAACTAAATCTCGGTAACGGGTTTCCGGAATGCGTACACTGCACGTCGAGAAGTGTAAGTAAAGTATTAAATGCGCGACTATCTTGGAGAAGATCAAAGAAAGAAGTTGCTTGCATTTGAAGCGTAATAACCGACTGCAGACAGTATTAAATCAACAACTTAATAAGAAACATAAATATGAAATGCTGAAAAATTTCTCTTCAGAAATTCTTTGAACGCATACTGGTCCTGGATCCCAACAATTATAATTAAGTATAAATCTGTTAAATCGAGGTATACCTTCATAACCGAGATATAACAGTTTAAAAATTTGCGAATTTTACACGGTGTCTTAGAGGAAAATGAATTTTCAAGTCATTTTGACCCCTCCGGTAGAAGTAGGTATACGTCAATCGCCGGCAGTTCTAATGTTAATTATCGAAAATCGTGCAAGGTAGCCTACAATTTTCCGTATCTTTGAAAATTAAATTAGTTAATTAACTAAAACGCAATCTGCTTTCGCGTAGGACAGTGTATGGTACGTCTTGCTCGTTTTCATTTACCTTCTTGCGTTGGATCTCGTCCACGCGAGCCGAGGTTGCACTGATATACTGCTAGAAAACGCAGCCCTGAACGTTATTTACTACCTTGTAGGCACGTTAAACCTCCACCTGCACGCCGACACATTCGCGTTTAATAAGTTAATTTAGAAGTCCCGCGGCTCTACGACTTAATTGCACGCACGTTTGAGTTACGGCCTGGCCACTTGTAATCTCCGTTGGCGAAAGAACTCGTGAAAGTATCGTCGCGTTTGACTCTGTACTTGTTCCAATCGTTTATTTTAATGCAATAACACGTCATAATTTACACAAAATTGAAGGAGATGTTGGAAGATCGTCAATATAAGATTTCAGCGCTTCAGAAAACTCGTAAAATTGTTTAAAATTTGGATTACTTTCATAGGTTCACGCTTGATTGTATCGATACACGTGATAAAGAGCTCAAAAGTTAATTCGGAGAGCAGATTAAAATAAAACAATTTGGAATAATGTTACGTGTAAAATGTTCACGATTAATTTTATTCCATTCGGATATTTAGCGCGATTCGTAATTATACGGGCAGAGGAAATCGAATTCGTTTGCATAAATCACCGACGAGCTTAATATTCAGTTTAATACACCGATGTGCAATCAACGAATGTCGGCTCGATGAATACACAAAGCCGTGTTTAAAAAAAAAAAAAAAATCCCGACGGTTCCCAATTTTTTTTTCCTTTTCAGTGAACGCGACGACAATCGGTATGAAGAGCACCACCGAACGCAGACTGATTACAATTTCGGGTATAATTCAAACGGAAATAGAGAATGGCCCGTTTCTCCTATTCCCTCCGGTTGGGAACGGGTGCCTAGGGTGAAATTACGGCCGCGAAGAAATATATATCGCAATAAACAACCCGGGAACGCTCGTCTAAACGCGCATTCTTCGGATTCCTGAAATTGCGATTCCCATGATAGAATTTCGGGGCGTTTTCGTCGACCGGTTGGTAAACTGGGTTCGGAAATACGCGAACCGAGGTTTGGGGTTGTATTGATCGCACAGCCGGCTGCGCGAGCTAGGGACTGAAACAGTGGCCACCTCCAGTCACTGTGAACTTGTTTGCAAACGACATTTCGGACATTTTCGTCAACGATCTGGATGTACCACTTGTATACACTTGACACTTTTTCCCTTTCGCGTTAAATAAACGTGTTATGAATAACGAGCAATAATCTCGGTTAGCCGTCGGGACAGCACTGCAATGGGCGATTGATCTCCTTCGTACTTTATTATTCCTACAAATTCAATTTTCAAACCGAATTTACTCAACGTCCTAAGAAATTATATACATTTTAACCATTTAACAAGATGATTTCAAATCGAGATTCACTGTGTTCAATTGACGTTTATTCGATTGCCTTATTTCCCTGGCAAAAATGAAATACTCTTAAAAACTGGAAACAGAAATTCCATTTAAGTGAATAAATTTATAAATATCGATATTAATAAGATACAATATTTCAGATGGTGTGAATTATTAATTCTACGAGATGATACGTCTGACGTTGGAAGGGCGAAATGTGGTACTGGTGAAAGATTATCCTTTCCACGATAGCGCGAGGGTGGAAATAGGGATGGTGTCAGCGCGATAAACCGCGATTACCAGGAACGAGAGGGGTTAGAAAAGAATCGATGACCATCGGTCGAGCCAATTAATCCGCGAACTTCGCCGGAGATCGGCTCATTAGTGTTACATAGGCGTCGAGCAAGCGACGAAAGAAGTTAAGGCGAGTAGCTTGGATGCGATTTCCTTACCAGGTAACTTTTTGCATCACGCTAGCCGCGGCGGAGTGAAGTGATTAAAGGGATTCGTTGAGCCGGAAAAAAAGAAAGCGCGAGCTTAATACGGCAGCTCAATGCACTCTTTTTCGAGAGAGAAAATATTAAATTGGACGAGGTTTAATTTAATTATTCTCGATTAAATAATCGTTGCACAAAAGCATAACACTAGAAGAGTTAACGAACAAATACTAATAAATTAGTAACGATAAAGGATTGTCTTTATCGATCTTTATTTTGATAAAGAAAATTCATTAACAGGAATAAGAATGTGTCATGAGATTTGTATTCATTTTATCGAACTCTTTCTTTATTATTTACTTATATTTACGGGTTAGAGAATACTTTAATATACACGATAGGAACAACGAGCAGTAGGAATGAACATAATATATGCTAAAAGATATACATAGCTCCGGTAAAAAAAAATACAAGGTATTTCATAAAATGCAAAAAGAGTGGAAATCAAAGCATTTGATAAATCATAACTGTGATGACAAAAAATGAGCACGTAGCTTCCGTCTAATGACTGGAACCATTAAATATGACAATAAGATGACTGAATCTATTGGCTTTGGAGGAGGCAATGATGTTAACATGACCAAACTTAGATGTGAATCTTCCAGGATAAAAAATGCTAGAAGGCCTAAGAACTCGAGGGGGGGCGTTTAACTTGATTAGCTCAAGAAGAGGCGGAGAGTCTATGTTATGACTAATCAAGTTCTGGAGGAGGATTATTTCGTGGATTATCCTTCTATCCTCAAGCAAAATTATGTTGGATTTAAGCATGATGTAACTGTAGTGATCAGTAAACCGTAAAGGAGAATTGGTTAGCAAAGAGAGATATCGTAAAAATTTGTGCTGAATGCTTTCTAAAGAAATGCAATACACTGCAAGCCGGGGGCGACCAGATGATAGAAGCATATTGAAGATGGGGTATCACAAGCGTGTAGTGCAATACCAACAAAGTCAGAGAATTCATAAAGTAAATGAAGGTTATTTTAAGAAAGCCAGGCATCATAGCTGCCATGTTAGCAACATGATCAAGATGAAAATAAAAAGATAATTGGGAATCAATAGTTACCCGAAATAACTGCTTTTAACAAACATTCTATACAATTGTTTAAATGTATGGAACATCGTGTGGAGTTTATACTCGTTTCACTTTATGATTATTTCTTGTAAGATCGTGGGTTTTATGTTGTATTACGTTTCATCAATGGCGAAGAGGAGCCTGGAAGTTCAGGCGAGGGTAGAAACGAGGGAGAATGGAGAAACGAGAATCGAAATCGACAGGCTTGCAGTTCCGTCTGCAGTGCAGATAAGAACTTTTGGTCCCTCGGGAACATCGTACCAGTGACTCCGCGTGCACCTGCACTTCTACAGGACCAATAAGACAATAACATATTGTTACGGACTACGATAAACTTTACCCTTAATAAAATCATTTACGGAACTTCATATCATAATCACGGCGTGTGTAAAATTACTCGGAGAACAAATAAAGCGATTCAAAAATCAGTATCACCTGAATCGAAATTTTAATCAAATTTCAAATTAAAACGGTAACGCCTAACTGACGAAGAGTCACGATTTAACTTTATCGTGATACAGCTAAAAATATACCTATATACGTATTTCCAATTAACGCGTCGTACTCAGATAAATTAATGTTCAAATTTAATTTTACACCAACAGATAATTGTTTGATTGATAAAACAATCGATATGTACCATTCATGTAAAAACGATAAATACATTAGTGCAATAACAATTACAGTTTCGGCTGCATAATATATTTCTTCCTTTTGGAAATTCACTCGTTATCGTGTTTTAATGAATTTCACGCTACGTGATCCGAAAGGACATAAATGTTACGTGATCCTCGTTACGTCGCACGTGACCCAAATGAAATCCAGCGACAGAATTTTCAAATACTGTCCGTTCGAATAACCGATTCGGCAGCCTTTATTAAATCAAGTATCTTTAGCAAACGTACGACGATTAATTATAATCCCCGCCACCTGTCAGAAAATCGTCTCCTCATAAATCTCTCGTGTGCCAAGCACACACGCGCCGCTAATTAATAATTTCACGCCGACAAGGAAGATCGAATTCCTGCGAGTTTTTCTTAACTAGATTATCTGATCGACGTTGGCACAGAGACCGCAACGAATCGTTCTTCTTCTT